CTCCTCCTCCTCCTCCTCCTCCTCCTCCTCCTCTACCACTTCTCCTCCTCCTCCTCTTCCACTTCTTCCTTCTTCTTATTCTCTTTCTCCTTCTTCTTCTCCTTCTCCTGCTCCTTCTCCTCCTCTTCCACTTCTTCCTTCTTCTTCTCCTTCTCCTCCTCCTTTTTCTCCTCCTCCTTCTCCTCCTTCTCCTTCTCCTCCTCCTCTTCCATTTCTCCTCCTCCTCCTCCTCCTCCTCCTCCTCCTCCTCCTCTTCCACTTCTCCTTCCTCCTCCTTCAAAGAAACAGACTGTGGGGAGCCCACTTCACAGATCAAAAATGAATGGTCAGTGGCAAAGACAGAGTCTCAGAACACAGTGAAAATTGAAGTTATTTGCACAGATGATGGCGAAAGTTCTACGCACAGCCCTGGTGAGCAAAATAATCAATTCAGCAGTCTGAAGCGTATTAGAAAGGGGAATATTGTTGCGGAAATTACCATTACGGGCAGTCCTGAATTACTACTGTAATAAGCAAGCCCGTCACAGTTTTAACGTGATGGTCATAAATCAGGTCGCCCAAATGACCAACCTGATTTTACAATTTATTTTTTTTGCAGCGACCCTTCAGTTACTGCCGTAGTCATTAAGCGAAGCAATAGTTCACCATGGGCCCAATTTTGCTGAAAACTTGAATTAACTGAGAATGTTTGGCAAAAACATAAAATGTGGTCGCGTGACTGCAAGATACTGTAAACAGCTGTAAATGTGACCTGATTGCTGAGTATCTGAAGTATGGTCATGTGGTTGTGGAGGGAGGTCTGTCATAGCTTCAAACAGTTCCCAAGCAATCGGTCATAAATTGAGGACTGCCTGTACAGTCGTAGTAGGAATTTAAAGCAAAAGTCCATGTGTTGTTATGTTTTAAATGTTTGTATGTTCTTTTTCTATATGGAAATTTGAAGAAAATAACTAGTTTGTATGAAATAATAGGCCAGATTCCCATGAATTTTATTTTATTTTAGGGATAATGTACTTACGCAGCCTGTCCTGATTTGATTGTTCTTCCATCCAGTGGGAATAATTAAGCAACTATATTGGTATGGGTGGCACAAAAAGACAGTCTTTTCATATTGATGCATCAATCTCAAAAATAATTGGTTTAGTCAGAAATGAAATTTGATTAATACTTAATTAAGTTGATTATTTAACTAGTTCAGTTGTTATAATTTCCAACTTGCCCATTGCCTCATTTAAAATTATAATTCATATATGGTAACATATGGATATACTGCAAAGATTGCACTCAAGACTTTCAGGAACTGAAAGAAGCAGATAATAACCACATATTTTCACAGGAATATGGAAGCCACAAACCACTAAAAACCATCAAGGCACTTTCAACATGATATAAATGCCTAGGAGAGCTGAACAAGTGTTTTAGATTGTGTAGTTTGGTAGCAAGCAACTAAATAAATGAAAGGAGATCCAGGGCAAAAGCTTCTGTTTTCATGAACAGTCTGACTTTGTAGCTAGATACCACTTGAAAAAGAGGAGGAAGAGTGGTTAAGTCTGCCTGTCTAATTGGATATAACAGGAAATATGCTGACTAGGGAATTCTGGGAGTTGAAGTCCACGCATCTTAAATGTTTGAAAAACACTGCTTAACACTAACCACAATAAAATGCAATCCCTTCTCTATCAGTCTTATATGTTCCATCATGACTCATGGTTGCTTATTTTTTTAAAATGCTACCAAATGATTGGCCACTGGAGATGGTAGAGGGGTTAAGAATAAATCAAGTACACTCTTTCGGCAATAGTCAGGCATGTGAGCAGTTTAAAAACATTGAAATTAATGCTTGGCAATTAAGAAGTGTTCGTGTGTGGGGGAAACCCCTATTTCTCTTATAGCCATTATCTTTGGTTTTCTCTCTCTTCCTCTGCAGCTGAGGAGCCAGCCCGCAAACGCAAAAAGGGACCTGCCCCCAAGATGTTGGGGGATGAAGTCTGCAGCGTGTGCGGTGACAAGGCCTCGGGTTTTCACTATAATGTCCTGAGTTGTGAGGGTTGTAAGGGCTTCTTCCGGCGCAGTCTCATCAAAGGAGCTCAGTATACCTGCAAGGGCAGTGGGCAGTGCCACATGGACATGTACATGCGCCGGAAGTGCCAGGAATGCCGGTTGAAAAAATGCCGACAAGCAGGCATGCGGGAAGAATGTAGGTCATGGAATCTTAGCCACTACAACCAGTTGAGGTCACTTCTCAGGGCCTAGCTAGGAATGGGAACTGTCCTGGTGCAGGCACTGCCTCCATTATAATGATTTCCAAGAATGGCACTGGGCCCTGTCGTCCAAGGGACAATTCTTTAAAAAATAGATGATTGGTGGCTTCCTTTTGGAAGGGATTGATCTGCCTGGGAAATAAACAGAACCAGCAGACTAGCAGGGACCATCCTAATGGAATAAAGTTGGGAGAGAAGACAGGAAGGAAAATTTGCTCCCAGAATTCTAAATGCTTCGTTGACCTTTTAAAGATTGAACACTCTTCTTAAGACAGTGTTTCTCAACCTGAGCAACTTTTAAGATGTGTGGACTTCAACTCCCAGAATTCACCAACTAACCTGGCTAGAGAACTCTGGGGATTAAAATCTTACCTATCTTGAAGTTGCTTCAGTTGAGAAACATTGCTGCAGAAATGAGAGATCTATAACCCACCAGATGGCGCTGAAGACTAAGCCAAAATAACCAATAGTGAGAAACGATGGGAGTTGAAGTACTGTCCACATTTGATAGGCCGAATGATCCTTATTTTTATCAGTAAGAAACTGGGAAGTTACAAACATCAAAAAGAAAAAGAAAATGCTGAAAGTGTGAAGTTTTGAGTCAACAGGATAGATTGGATTGTACTCTGAGGGAAAATAGTACTGAGGCAGGAAATAATTTTTTCTGGGCAGTGCATCCCACAGTTGAGAAAGATGATTCTTCAAAATGTTAAGTGCATCTGGAATTCTCTGTTGAACTTTTGAGGTCTTTTCATTTCATGCCAGACTCTCTCTCTGTCTCCAGGTGTCCTTTCAGAAGAGCAAATCCGCAAGAAGAAGATCACTAAGCACGAGGGAGATGGGGTTCCAACTGGGGAAAGAGATGGAGGTGAAGTACTTCGAGTACCTCCGTTGCTCTGTGATCCTGCTTTATCCCAGCCTGAGCCAGTTCCTCTTACCCCACAGCAGGAGGGCATGATCCAGCAGTTGGTGGCGGCCCAACAGCAGTGCAACAAGAGGAGCTTTAGCGATCAGCCCAAAGTCACAGTAAGTGGGTGTGTGTGTGTGAGAGAGAGAGAGAGACCTAAATTGGTGTAAAGTCCTGGCTAGTTCCAAGGCTACAGCCTATGGCAAAGGCAGGCAATAGTCTTAATGACTTTCTAGAACAGCTTTCCTGTCCTAATGGTCTCCAGAGTAAGTTGAACTGTGACTTCCATGGTTATAAGGACAAAAGGACTAGACCCAAGGACAGTTTTTCCCCAAATGCTATCACTCTGCTGAAAAAATAATTCCCTCAACACTGTCCAACTGTTTACAAAGTCTGGATTATTATTACTATTAATCTTCTCACCACTCCTTATCACCCATCCCTTCCCACTTGTGACTGTATGACTGTAACTTTGTCATTTGTATCCTTACAATCTATATTGACTGTTTCCTAGTAGGATTTGATTGCTTATTGTACCCCATGACTATTATTAAGTGTTGTACCTTATGATTCTTGATGAATGTATCTTTTCTTTTATGTCCACTGAGAGCATTTGCACCAAGACAAATACCTTGTGTGTCCAATCACACTTGGCCAATAAAGAATTCTATTCTATTCTATTCTATTCTATTCTATTCTATTCTATTCTATTCTATTCTATAAAAAGAGATTGAACAACCATTTGTCTGAAATGCGATAGGATTTCCTGCCTGAGCAGAGGGTTGGGATAGAAGACCTCCAAGGTCCCTTCCAACTCTGTTATTCTGGATAAGCCATAAAGTGTACTGGACAGACCTCATTCCCTTTTTATTTCCTCCCTTATCTCTTATTTTTCCCATTACTTTCCAGCCTTGGCCAGTGAGCAGTGACCCCAACAGCCGGGAGGCACGCCAGCAGCGCTTTGCCCATTTTACAGAATTAGCCATCATCTCAGTACAAGAGATTGTGGACTTTGCCAAGCAAGTACCTGGCTTCCTGCAGCTCTCGCGAGAAGACCAAATCGCATTGCTGAAGGCTTCTACCATTGAGGTGAGCAGGGGTGATTCTTTTGCTTCCAAAGCTATAAGAGCTAAAAGTCTTACGTTGGCTAAGGCTGATGTCCTGAAAATGTCTGTGTAGCCAACGATCCTACACCTTACAGTAATAACTCAATGAAATCTGGCATAGCACATGTTTTGCACAAACAGATTAATCAGTAATATTTCCAATAAAAGTGGACCAGGTAGCGAGTGATGAAAAAGATTTTCTGCCAAGGAGATTTTTGTAATCTGCTGCCATTGATTTCGACCTTGGCAGCTTGTGTGGACTTCAGCTCCCAGAATTCCCTAGTCAGCCATTTCTTCAAGATGGCAAGGTTGGGTAACATTGATAGACACTGGGAAAATGAGTTCCTTTAGTATAAACAATCCTATTTTTAACAATATATGATTCACCAAAACAAATTACACAGACCTGCTCACAAAGATCATTACTTCCTCATCTTAAAGCAAAATAACAATAATTTCTCTATTCAAAGTTTTTCAAATAGAATTTTAAAACGTGGCTCTGTAGTTTTATAATCCAGGTACAAAGACTACTGTCTATGAGAATTAGGCTGTACTGTAAAAACTTTTCTATGAACACAGAGTGGGTATTTATGATACTTGCTGTTAATACTGCTTTTACTGTATTGAACTGTGTACTGCATTGTGTGTTGCTTCTGCTTTTTAGGGCCTCAGAATGGGAAAGGATATAATTTTTTTAAGCAGAGAAAAGGAAGGAGAGTTTAGCTTTCTAGAGAATTAATAAGCATGTGGTATATTAAGTTATCTACCTAAGCACATACCACAAATAGTTTTTTTAGAAGGGCAATAGCTGTTCTTTGACACATGCTTGTCTTCTTAGATCATGTTACTAGAGACAGCCCGGCGCTATAATCATGAGACTCAGTGCATTACATTTCTTAAAGATTTTACATACAGCAAGGATGACTTTCACCGTGCAGGTGAGTGAAAAGTGAAAAGTAATTCATGACGGGGTGATGTAGGCAAGAAATCTGCAGCCAGAGGGGGGGGGGGGAATCAAAATTGTGTATGGAATGGTAGAAGCTACTCCCAAAAAATTCCTGGGTCCACCCAAGAAGAATTAGCTGGCTGGGAGTGATGGGAATTGTGATATAAACACAAGGAGAACCAGATTTGAGAAAATTGCCTTGACAGTATAAATAATCATACTTCACACATAAATCTCACATTTGATAAAACTTCACAAAAGAGAGGTTTTAGTTTCATATGTTTTATTAAATTGCCCAGGATGGTTATCTCTGCTTAAAGAAGAGGCCCTATTCCCATACAGAAGGCAAAATCTTAGCAGTTCCTTTTCTGGCATTTGGATTCTTGGCACTTTATGACTCCCCTTAGATACAAAATGGAGAAACTGAGAACCTAGCATATGTGAATGTTGGTTAATTCTCCATTCCAGAGAAGCTTCTTGCTAGCCCAAGTTTTGCAGTCAAATCTATATATTTTGAGTAGATTTCAAAGTAAGCAGAATTACTATTTTGTCTAGAAATATATATTTTGTATTTTCCCAAAATGTGTTTTGTTTAAAGTTCTTACCGAGATGGAGATAGATTTTATTTTTCAAAAATATATTTGAGGTTACTAATATATTTCCAAAGGGATAAATCTGGGTGGACCAGTGATGTGTTTCTGGGTGATTTCTTCTGATTCCATGTTTCACATCTCAAGTGAAAAGGTGTCGTAAATATTACTGAGCTTTCATATTTAATGAGAGTTTGCATTTGTTTCCAATCATCCTTTTGCAGAGGTGAACCTATGAGGCAAGACTTAAATATTTGGAAATAACACAGATTGTCCTTTGTATCTTCTGCATGTCTGGTCTTGATTCTGGGATCTTTATTGTGCAGTGAAAAGGGTGTGTTAGTTCAGGCTCTCTAGTTTAGTTTCTATCGTCCTTCCTCTGTAAAGGAACAGTTGTTTACACGTCATATTCTATAAAATTTTTCTATATTGGAAGAAAGCTTGGATGAATTTGTATTAGAGGAACTTAAAAGTATTTGTTCTTCACATATTTTCTTTTTGCCTATAGCCAGAGTTATTTTGTAGCAAGCATTTGTTATCTTAGTTGTACTGTATGTTCATTTCTAAGCCTTGTTCAAAATGCTGACAGTTTATGGTAAATTCATCCAATCAAGATTATTTATTACTAAACTATCAGCATCCTGAATTCAGCTGAAGAATTGTACTTTACTGCTAGTCAAGAAGGTTAGTTAAGGAGAAAACATATTTTGTAGCTGTGGATGATTACTGAATTTCTTTAGAAAATCTGTATCAACCTTATTTCTCTTGCTTCTGCCTGGCTTTTTTTTTTTTTTTAAAAGAAATCTTAAGCATTTAGCCTGCCAGGTTTTCAGATTATTTTGTGCCACTAACAATGCTCTGGTTGTACTACTGTCTAATGAAATTACAATGTTGTTTTCTGTTTTAAAAGATAGTTACCGTTATAATAAATTAGCTCCTCATTTTTATGGCTGCATCTATAGGATGCCATCTTCTGGGGAGTCTTTTCAATCTTCATGTCTATCTGCATCCCCAACTTAATTTCTCTTATGCATTTATGCTTTGAAGCACTTATAGTACAAAATGGCTAAAGTGAGGTAGGATAGAAATCTAAAACACACAACAAATACACTTGGAGGTCTGAGCATAGAAAAGTAGATGACATCTGTCGTTCCCTAATGTTTTATTTCTCTCCCTCTCCAATTCCCTCACCCCAAAACAAGGTCTTCAGGTCGAATTCATCAACCCCATATTTGAGTTTTCCCGGGCCATGCGAGAGTTGCAGCTGGATGATGCCGAATATGCCCTTCTCATTGCAATCAACATCTTCTCTGCTGACAGGCCAAATGTGCAGGACCATGGCTTGGTAGAGGCATTGCAGCAGCCCTACATTGAGGCCCTCAGTTCTTACATCCACCTCAATCGGCCACAGGTATCTGGATTGGGGAGAAGGGCAACGGTGAATGCTGAGGGAGAAAACCATAGAGCAAAGGGGATAGATTATCATCATTGGGTGGAAGAAAAGTGATTAAAAAAATAACATTCCTCCTGGTTTAAGGCCCAAGGCAAAACTCACGATTTAGCACATTTTATTAGATTGCAAAGACCACAGCTGACTTAAGCCAATATAACTTTGGGTGTCCCTGGTAAATCTTAGGACAGGATTGGGAAATGAGTAGCCTGTTCCATCCGCTGAACTACACTTCTCATCTCCACTGACTATTTTTATGCTGAGCATGAATGATAGGAGATCAGTGTCTAGAAGGCTGTATTGTACAGACATTTTCTTTTTCACTTTAGTTGATTTGGCAGAGCAAGTGCTAATTCTTAGTTTGCAGGGGAGAAAGGGATAGTTTTCTATTGCAGTAAGAACTGCAGAGTGGAACAGTCCCTGAACTGAAGACACAAAATCATAAGAATATGTTTTCTGAATCCCAGGGAAGTTTGCTTCAGATTAGCCTTTAATATTAAAGAGTGCAACAGTTCTAGGCATATTCCTTCAAAGTTTGCTGGGACTGCATAGTACACTAGGCCAGACCTTAAAGCGTAACAACACAAATTGTACTGAACATGCTGGGTTTAGAGGTGGAAGAAGGCCTTTTACAGCCTTGAAGTTCTTTTTTGCCAAGAAATTTCCCAATATTGCAATGCCAAAAACCAGTGACAAAGTGTCAGTATTTGTGGCATGATGTTCTTCTAATTTAAAAAGTAAGTGTGGTAAGTCTCCAGTAGATTTATTTTAGCGCTTAAATTAAAAACTTTTTCAACCCCCATTCTTGTCAGATGGAAAAATGGTTTTCTTCCTGCTTTATCCAAGGATGTCACCATCCTGCAATCACAAAAATAGCAATCTTTAGAAGTATCGCCTCTAGTCCTGCTGACAGTTTCCTATAGCTAGACTGTGGTGACAGGGTGTGGAGACAAGTGTTCTTCCTGAAACATTTTTGGATTGTGCAATTCTGTCCTGCTTTCACTAGATACTACCTGTCAAGGGCCTGAGTAGGCCAATGGCTCCTTCCTTCCCCTTCCCAATTCTTCCAGTTCCTTTTTTCCTTCAGGTTGTATCTTAATAAATCATGTATCTTTCATAGGCCATAGTCATACATACATACTATTTTCAGATAGATGGGCAGGATTAAGTAAAAAACGTTTTCAATTTACAGATAGTCCTCAACTTACGACCAAAATCCAGCTCAAAATTTCCATTGCTAAGCAAGATCATTGTTAAGTGAATTTCACCCCAATTTACCACCCTTTCCTGTCACAGTTATTAAATGAATCATTACCACTGTTTAAGTTAGTATCGTGATTGCTAAGCAAATTTAATTTTCCCACTGACTTTGCTTCTCAGGAGGTTGCAGAAGGTTATCTCATGATCCTGAGACACTGCAGCCGTCGTACGTCAGTGGCCAAGAATCCAAATTTTGATTACCTGACCATGGGGTTGCTGCAGTGGTCTTAAATGTGAAAAAATGGTCACCAGTGATTTTTTTCAGCGCCATTGTAACTTTGAATTTGTCACTAAATGAATGGTTGTTAGTCAGGCCTCGTTTAACATTCATTTTTGTATATTTATTTATTAGACTTGTCGGCCGCCATCTCACCTAGAGTTCATTTTTTTTTTCAGCAGCTTTTCAAAGTTACGATGGCACTGAACGAAGGGATTTAAAATCAAAGGGATTTAAATTTGTTCCTTGAAATTCTGGGGTGTTGCAGTCACGTAAATTTGGGGTCAACCAAATTTGGCAACCAGGTTGTATTTAGGATGGTGGCAGGGTCCTGATGTCACGGTGGGAGGGGGGCATTAGGTGACCTTCTCTGCTGGCTTTTCCCAAGTAAAATCAGTGGGGAACCTAGCAGAAAAGATCACAAGTTGGGCAAGTCTTTCCCCCAGCTCTTCTTCTCTCTCACTGCATTCTTCTTCACCTGCACACACACACACACACACACGCACACACACACAGTGTCCTCCCCCCCCTTCATTCACCTATACTATCCTTCCTCCCTCCCTTTGCTCACGCACACCGTGACTCTTCTTTCCCTCACCTTTCTTCTGTTCATGCTGCTCCACAGGACCTCCCTCCCCAACTCACGCCCCACCTGCGCTGGGCCTCCCCTGTGACACACCCCTTGTTCCTTACCTGGGGCTGCTGCTGCTGCTGCTGCTTCCTTCCTTCTTAATTTGTTGTGTGTCTCCAGCTTCACAACAGCAACTGGAACTGCCTGGATTGCCATCAGTGAGCAACGCGGCCACGTCGCATTGTGCTTTGCATCGCTCGGTGACGGCAATCCCAGTACCAACTGCCATCATAGCTGATTCTTAACTGTAGGTAAAATGAAATTTTAGTTCCCCGTGCATTTAATCAGTTTGTATTCCTCTCAGACACTTAACATTGAAAGGCAACTTTCTGAAGGTTCTGGACCACACACACAGCCCTGGAGCCTCTCAAATGACACAATTCTGACTAAAGGCGTCGCGCCTTTCACCAGACCTCTTTTGGCCTCCCTTTCTTCCCACAGGACCACCTGATGTTTCCCCGCATGCTGATGAAGCTGGTGAGCCTGCGGACGTTGAGCAGCGTGCACTCAGAGCAGGTCTTTGCCTTGCGCCTTCAAGATAAGAAGCTTCCGCCACTTCTGTCTGAGATCTGGGACGTCCACGAATAGACCTTTTGAAGGAGACTGGGGAAGAGGCAGACCTCTCCCAGTGGCACCAGCAGGCATGTTCCCCGTAGCGAGTCTTTGGATTCAGCATAAGCCTTACAATGGCTGGACTGGGATCCTGCCAAAAGAATTGAGTCAAGTGAGCTACTAAGCACTTTCGTTTTCTCCGCCATCTTTCTTCCATTGCTTCAGATTTGGGGGAGGGGAGGTCGGTCACCAACTTCCTTCTGAGTGGGAAGAGGGAGAAGTGAAGAAAAAAAAAATAACCCTTTCCTCCAAAGACTGCACCCTCTCCTGTTTGTGAACAGCAAACAGCTGCGCCCTGCATCGTTAACTTAACTGCAGTTAAGTTAATGTACAGATTCACTTAACAGCGATGGCAAGACAACCGAGAACTGTTTCTACTTAGGGAAGGAAGAGTTCTAACAATGAAAATAAGAGGAGATTGCCATATGTAGTACCTGGTTGTATGAGGCAAATACCCAGAAGAAATAAACTGGTCATGAAAATGAAACATCTCACTGTTCTCCTGGGTGAGAAATGCTCCCTTGTAGTTAATTGGGGCAGGGGAGAGGGATTGGGGGGGGGGGGTTGTGGAAAGCCAGGGTCTTGTCTGAAGAGAAAGGAAGCAAAGTTCTTAAGAATACTTGACTGAGTTCACTTACCATTCATAAAGGATGTGTGTGAGTGTGTATGTGTACTCACAAGTACCCCACCATAGCCGATTCCGTGTCACATGCTGGCCGCTAAAGCAAGAGTTTAGTCCCTGGAACATTCTAGTGGCAGCAAAATTAGGATTTTTAACTATGTGAGTAATTTGTTTTCTTTATAAATTTAAGATAATATGAACTCATGGAGCATGTCTTAATCCTCCAGTTTTGTCCTTCATACCTTTTGCAACCCTATAAGGCGAAGAAAAAAAAAAACCACACAGGCTTCCACTCTTGATTGTCTCATGCAAGCAACTATTCGAAGTTGTGACAATGCTAAAAAAAAAAACACCGTTTGTGACCAATCCTCACATTTAATAACAGTTGCCGTATCCTGCAGTCATATGATTGCTATTCATGTGCTTTGCAACCATTGAGCAATTTTCGCTTGTGATAAGCAGTTAACATTGTACAGTATGAAAGGTGGAAATAAAATCGTAAGTCACATTCACATGACTTTTCACTTAGTGACTATATCACTTAACGACTAAAGGTGAAGTAAGCTCATATGCTTCAGTCAGGATCATGTGATTTCCCACTTAGCGATCATGTTGCCTCCCAATTGTAGTTGCTAAGTGAGGACTACAGAAGAAAAAAGGGCAGTCCTCAGTTAAAACATAATTGTCTATTCCTGTTACTGACTGTGGCTTATTACATTCAGAGGGTTGAGTCTACAAGATATTTCTTTGCCAGTACAAGTCATTTTACATTGTATATTTAATGCCACATGTGAAATGAATTTTTGAGTTTTGTGATCCAAGGGAAGCTGAAAGCTAGCATTCTTAAAGATCTGTGTGCATTTCACATTGTGGCCCAAGGATGCCCTCGGCATGGATTAGGCTATCAACATTTCTATGGGCTACAGAGACTTAAATTCTAATTAATATAATTTAATTACATGGTTTTGGGTCAGATATGATCACTTAGCCAGGTCTACAACCAGGTCATTGTGATGATACAATAAAGGAAGGGACAGTCCTACATAGTTCTCTGGTTCTCTGAAGTAAGGGCAGAGTACATACAGGAGATTCTGAACTAGTTTCCCCAAAAATTAATTACAAAATTGGTTATTTATTGAAATTTCCTTGGAGCTAGGCACCAGTATATGTTAATATACTTCGGGTCCTGTCAAACAATGCCATTTAGGAAGCAGGCATGATTCCTGTGCTCTGAAATAGTACCCTGCCACCCCCGAAGTCTGTGTGGCTGTCACCTTGATGGTGTTCCCAAAGTCTTTAAAAGTAGGCTGTTCTCCTAGGCCTTGTGGAGGTTAGTTGATAGCTTTGCTCATTTGTTATGCCAGATGTGTGTGGTCTCTTCTGCTTTACATTGTTTCCCCCCCTTTTTTTAAAAGTATATATTGTAGTCAAATGGCCTTTAAATCTAATCAGATAAATAATCAGTTCTCTCAATCTAGGACCTATGGAGGACTAAAGTAAAAGTAGTCCAGAATGTTATATTTCCCAATGCTGCCTTTAAATCTGCCGGCCTGGAACTTCCCATTTGCAATTAGGGAAACCCCTGCCTTGTCAGGAAAATGGGGATTTCCTCCATGTGACTTTAAGACTGTCCACTAGAGGTCGTACAAAACCTACAGCTTCTAACTGCTCTACCTTTCCAATTATATTCTGTGGCCACTGGGTTTTCCCCTTCAACTTCCTAATGAAATACAGAGGCAGTTTATTAACACAATGTAATGTATATGCCTCGCCCAAATAAATGGAAAAGAAATACCCCAGAATTTGAAATAGGGAAACACTGTTTTTTCTCTTTATAAAGTTCAGTACTCAAAACAATTTGGCTTTAGTTCAAACCTTTTATGCAAATAAGTACCAATTTGCATAAAGTTAATCAATTTCTTCTGGGCTAACTATACAGGTAATCCTCCACCTATGACTGTAATGTCTCCTGCCTATTATGGTTGCAAGTCATGAGAGTTGTTAACCCAGTGGACACTTAACAAGGTCAGTTAAAGTTCTAGTTGCTTTCATTGCCGCAACATAAATACATAAAGCTCAACTAGTTTAAATGTAGTACTCTGTGAATTGTGCAAAATGTCCTAATCTGTTAGCCAGGTGAAGCATCTCTGAACCCAGGGAATAAGCTATCGAAAGCAGGAATAAGGCAATTTAGAATACAGATGGTTTCCTTAATACTGAAATTGTTTGTAGTTTGCCTTTATCTTTTAGAACAGGTTGAGCAATCAACTGTCACCAAGCCACACATGGTCTTACTATCATTTTTTCTGCAACCCCCAGGGCCTGCCACATTTCTTCCTGCTGCTGAAATTCAGTAGGAAAACACCAAGAGACAATGGGCTGATTTCTTTCAAAATGAGAACTGTAAGAGGTATGATACGTCTCCAGACCCACTTACCAGACCTACTGAAGGCCCCCCAAATGGGAAAACTGACTCCACCCCTTCCAGGGATGTCGCCATGTCCCTATTAATGTTTTCTTCCTGAAAAAAATGTTTATTTTAAAAAAACAGCAAAAGCTTTTCTCCCCGTCATAGTAGGAGAGTACCCCACAGTCAGGACTCTTTTAAAGGGAGGCAATGGCACATGCTTGCTTATTTGCTTACGTAATTAATTTCTAAGCTTGCCTGCTTGCCAATAATTCTGGGCAATTTCCAAGGAGTTCAGAAAAATCAATTAAAAAGTCAATTGCCTTCCTAAAAGCCAGCAGGCTTTGGGGCCACATGGATTTCAAGAGGGGAATCCCTATCTAAACTACAGTAGAGTTCAAATAACCAGATCAATATTTTTATCTGAGGCAATCAAACTAATCCATTAAAATAGATTTCTAAAAAATATCTCAACATTTCTACTTGCTGAACCATTATACTTGTGACAGAACAAGAATTGTAAGATTGGAAGGAAGTCCAATCCCCTGCCCAAAGCAGGAATACTCAGACATCTTAGAGAAATTGCTGCCCAACCTTTGCTTGAAAACTTCCAGTGTTGGAAAACTCAACTCCAGAGGCAGGTTTATTCCACCACTTAACAGACTTCCAGTTACAAAATTCTTCCTTGTTTTAGGTTTTAATTTCCCTTGGTTTATCTTCCATGCATTGATTCTTGATCAACCCTTGAGCACTATGGTGAATAAATCCACATCCTCTTCCCTGTGACAGTCCTTCACCATTGAAAAACTGCTATCACCTTATTATTTTTCTTTATGCCAAAACAATACCCAATTCTTTTCACCATTCTTCGTAGCCTTCAGGCCTCTTGCCCTTTTTGTAGCTATTCTTTGCATTCTTTCCCTTCCATAACAAGGGATTTTGAAAACTGGAGCCGTCTTTTGAAGTATTAGCAATCCCCATCCCCTGCTATTTTGTGTCATTTGCAAATTTAACAAACAGCCCTTCTATACTCTTGTCTAGGTCATGTATGAAAACATCAAAGAGCACTGAATCTAAGATAGAACCAACTCCTTCAGGTAGATACAGATTTGTTTATTGGGTATGGTTGTTCAACCAATTATGAATTCATCTGGTAGTGGAACCATCCTTCCCAAATCATTCTATTTTATCAAGAAGGAAGTGGTGGTCAACATTATTGTAAGCCCTGCTGAAGTCTAAGTGTATAATATCTACATCATTCCTTTGGTTTATTGATCTAGTTGCTCTTTTGAAAACTAACTGGATAAAAATATTTGTCTGCCATGATCTATTTTGAAAAATCTGTGCTGGTTTTTAGCATCATCATATTCCTTTCTAAGTGCTTGTCAACCCATTACTTGATTATTTTTTCCAAGATTTCTCCAAATATTCACAATGAAGTAAATAAAACACATTGATGTAGGATGGAAGGGAACTTTCAAATTAATATGTTATTTCTGGGCTTTCCAAAATCTTTAAAATACTTTGGCCACTGCTGCAGTTTTCTCAGTCTTATACCAGAAAACTTGCTATGATAGTAAGTTTTGATTTTGGTGACAACCATTAGATGGGATAAGGTAAAGTATTATTTTTGAGATGAATCCGAGTAATCCCTTGGTTTTCTTGAAAATAAACCCTCAGTTTGTGTTCAAACAAGGCTTATAATTACAGTAGGAATTGGCTGGGTTAGTTATCTTATATTGGTTTCAAAAAGAATGGAAAGATAGATTTCTGCTACACCATAGATTGTATTTATTTACTTCCTGCCTTTATTATTCTTAAAAATAACTCAAGGCAGTGAACACACACACTATTATTTCCTTTTCCAATTTTCCCGACAACAACAACCTTTTGAGGTAGGTTGGGCTGTGAGAGAATGATTGGTCCAAAGTCACCAGCTACTTTTCTGGTCTAAGACAGGATTAGAATTCACAATCTCTTGGCTTCTAGCCTGGTGCCTTAACCACTAGATTAAACTGGCTATCACATTAACTATTATTCAAACCTTGCAGAAAAATACCCTTTACCCTCTTCCACTTTCCTATTTCTCTTCTTGCTGTGGCCATCAAACCTTTCAAACTAATCAATTTATGGGAACTTTTTATAAAAAAATTTACTGGTTTAAAAATGAGGTGAAAAAGCAGATTTCAAGATGATCCAGTTTGAATGACAAGTTTAAGGATTAAAACAATTTACACTAATACCAAAAGATACCATATGGGTCTTTTCTTCCGTCTCCCCCATCAACTAGCTTTTTTAACTAAATAAACATTTAGTTTATTTTAATTACCATAACATATCAAGAATTGGGTTTGTTTCATTGTACAACCACTATTTATTCCAGTCCCCCCCCCCCTCTCATTCTGCCTATTTGTTTTCTGGGGTGGGATGAGTATAGTTGCACTTCGTTCTCACATGAGTCATTTATTTATTTAAGGAAATTTACGGAAAAGTACAGCCTGACAGGAAAAAAAAGATAAACTGCATACATGAAGTAGGATTGGTGACCATTTTCAGTAAGCCTGAATGATCTCAACAAAATGGTTGTTCAGAGCAGGGACTGATGATAAGCCAGTCATTCTAACATTGTTATGTTAACTAAGAAAGCTTCCTGATATCTTTAGGACTTATTTATTTATTAGATTTATTGTAACATCAGTCTCTGTAAACTTTAGTTATCAGATGTGGAAAGATAGGATAAAGTAAGATTATACATTGTAGCCTGGGGGTGTAAAGAATAGAGAAAATGGTATGGCAAAAGCAACATTATGTTGTCTGTGATAGGCTTTCTTAGTTGACCCCCATATTCATCAGAA